CCGCCGATTTTATTTTGGCTGCGCGACAACACTGCACGGGTTGCCAGCGATGCGCGCGACACTCGCAACCATTCTAATCGAGTAACACTCCAGCCTCAAAACAACCACCAGCTTCTTCCTCGACAATGAATCGTGCACTAGTTTCGATCCGTGACCACATTAACGCAAAATAAGAAATGTCTAACGTGTATATATGGTCTCACCGCCGCGACAGTTTCAGTTTTCCCCTGGTTTTAAAATTCGATTTCATGTACGCGTCTGTGTGCGTACGTGTACGTGTGTTATGTCGACAAGGATAGTTTTCTGAGACGCACTACGCGACGCACGGGTGCGGACTGTGCACTGGTAACTGCAACTGCGGGCGTATGCCTAAGAGAATGAGGAACATAGATTGGTTGATATGTTTCGCGCGAAATTCATTTAATTGAATTGTTGGTACTACTGTCTGGGTTTCTTTTTATTAAAAAGGAAAATCTTTATTGAGATCTTTATCTTCATGAAACTACAATAAAACGCACAAACATACAGAATTGTGTAACATTTAAAGTTCACGTCAGAAATATTAAGGCAGATTCTCGATCCACATTTGCAACGTATCAAGAGAGAGGTAATAACAGACATGTGCATTATTTAATAAAAGGAATCTTTTATGAATATTAATGAGCAATATTATTAGACTACAACACTATAAAAATAAAGCTGCGTTTACATTTTTTTATTTACATTTTGTTCTATATGTTACAATATGCAATTATGTAATAGTACAAATTATAATACATCAATATATAGATAAATAGATTTTATTACGACATAATACACATTTGCATTTTGTTATGACAATTTCTATGACGTATTCCTGATGGACTACTACAATCATAAATGTAAGCACGCGCATTGGCTGAAAATCCCACATATACGTATGTATGTGTGTATATCATACGATATGTGTAGTATGAGAAAATTACATTATGAATTTTTGAACAGTTGGTACATAACTCCCGCGTTTACTAGCGCGTGGTGATGCGTTGCATTTGTATCAACATTATGAATAAGCTTCGAAATTAAGTGTTATTCAAGAATAGTGTTTGTACTTCGAATTATTTGACACTTTATGTGACGAAGAAACACTAAAAAAAGGTTGATCATTACAAGTGTGATTACATTACAAGTGTGATTACATTTCAGTAACTCAAACAATGTCGTCGTTCAATTTGAGCGATCTTGAAGCACAATTACAAGATATTACTGAAAATAATGCCGATAACGGTGTCTCTTTCGCAAAGAAATCGCTTAAACTTGATACTGAAGAAGACGGTAAGTTATTTACTATTTCAGTTTATACAATCTATTATCGTATATTTTTAGTATTTTTTAGAAGATTATACGATATTGTATAAACACTTTGAAGGTTACGTGAACTAAGTGTTTAATTTTCTGTTTAATTAGCATTGGAAATAGTCAAAGCAATACGAGCATGTACAAATCTGGAGTACCTAGACTTAGAGGGCAACACTTTAGGACCACTTGCAGCCAAAGCTGTAGCTCAGGCATTACAAGAAAATGGTACATTAATGAAACGTGCTCTTTGGAAAGATATGTTTACTGGCCGTGTAAAGACAGAAATACCAAAAGCTCTTGAATATCTTGGCTCTGCGCTGTGTATTGCTGGTACTCGCCTCTTTGAACTTGATTTAAGTGATAATGCTTTTGGCCCAATTGGTATTGAAGGATTAGCCAATTTCCTAACTTCTAGTTCTTGTTATACTCTTCGTGTACTGAGATTAAATAACAATGGACTTGGAATATCAGGTGGAAAAATATTGGCAAAAGCATTATTAGATTGTTATAATAATAGTTTCCAGGGAGGTAAGACTTATCATTCATTCTGTTAGTTATTGAAGTAAGCAAATAAATTAATATATTGGAACATCTTTCAGGATCACCTGCCTTAGCACTAAAAGTATTTGTGGCTGGAAGAAATAGATTAGAAAACGATGGTGCAAAGGCGTTGGCATCTGTTTTTGAAAAGTTAACCAGTTTAGAAGAAGTTGTTATGCCTCAAAATGGTATATACTATCAAGGTATAATAGCACTTGCCAATGGATTGTCTTCTAATCCTGGATTGCGAATTTTAAATCTCAATGATAATACTGTTGGGCCAAAAGGAGCCCAAGCAATTGCTAAAGCATTACCAAACTTCCAAAATTTAGAACAACTTAATCTTGGCGATTGTTTGCTCAAAACACAAGGTGCTGTAGTTTTAGCAGAAGCGTTAGGAGTTGAAGGGAGTTATCCATTACTCGCAGAACTTAATTTAAGTTACAATGAAATCAGAACAAGGGGTGCCAATCCCATAGCTCTTGCTATGGCTAAGAAAGAACGTCTTGTAACCCTACAATTGGATGGAAACCATTTTGGTCAAACTGGCCGTACTATTTTGCGCGATTCGCTTATAATTTCTGAAAAAATTGGATCGTTAGGTACATTAAATGATGATGAGAGCGAAGATAACGAAGAATCTGATGAAGAAGATGAGGAGGAAGATGACGAAGGAAATGATGAAAAAGATGAAAGTGAAAATGAAAGCAAAGAAAATATAGATAATAATAAGGACATGATTACAAATGGCAGCATAGTACAACCAAAAATAACTATCGTGGAATTTTTAAAATCACCAACAGGAGAAAAATTATTGCTATTACCAGATGATGTAGTGCAAGATTTTATAACTCACGTCAAAGTAAGTAAATAATATTACATTTTTATTATTAACATTGCCAGCATTGCATTATGTGTAACATTTAGTTTTTTGCATTTCAGAATTTGTCGGAGAATGATGCATCTCCTGAATTAAAATTCATCGAAGAGTTTACAAGAATAATTATGAAAGTATCAGCACTCAGTACAACTGGTTATGCTGACGTGAGACTAAGAACTCAGTATCTTACAGATGCTTTATATTCAAAACTATGTTCTTTTGTAACAGAAAATGATCAGATTTCTGTTTGGAATAACACATTGCTAGTCAACCTAGGTTTAATAAAAGTAAGTATTTTATGTCCTTGAATTACATGTATTTCAAACAAAGATATTTGTTTTATATTTCAGGCTGAAGATAAAAGTAGTGGGAAAATTGATTGGAATTTGGAAGGATGTTTCAAAGCGTTAGAAACAGTTAGTCAAAAAGACTATTTTTTACAAGAGACACGAAGTACATTGAAATTTTTTTTAGAAAATCCAGTAAAAGTGAACAAAAAAAAAGTTATGGATTCGTTTGAACATTCAAAAGACTCTCTTAAAGCTGTTCTAAATCGTATGCAAAGTACGTAATAATTATTGAATTATCTTTTGTATAATTGGTTTACAAAACATATGATATATGGAGATATATCTATTTATTTTTAAATGCTTTGCAACTTGTAAAAATACAAATTATAAATTTTTGCAAAATAAAAGTGTTGCATCACATTTTTATAAGTTTTTTTATATATAAACAATTACATATATATGCACATTACGATTTTCTTTTTCATTAAAGTAAAAATCTTAATTATAAATACAAATTCCTAGATTACAAATACCAAAATTGTATTAGACTGTTCAGCGAGTCGAATTAGTTAAGGCAAACAGACGCACGTGACTGGGTAGGAGCGTATTCACAACCTTCAGATACTACAGAAGAAAATATTGATGCATTGTTCCTCATATATTTAACTACTTGGTATAGTAAAGATTTTTTGGTTTATACAACATATTTTAAATTGTGTAAACTAAAGTTTGACCGGGTTCTCAGTCCATATCGTACATTATGCATATCATAAACCTCAGAAATCAAAGGAAATCAACATCTATCAGCCATTAACTAGAGTCCTTTGTATTTATCATGTGCTTAGCAATCCTAGCCTTACCTTTATTGACTCGACTCATTGAACGGAGTATAGAACTTAAGTAATGAATACAAAAATTTTAGTTGAAGATAATATCTTTATCAATTTGGAATATAAAAAACAGGTTGAAATTCTACAGAATAAATAACGTTTATCAATAAAAATTTACGTCAAATGCATTAAAAATTATTATGACTCTTAAGAGTTTCTATTACCATAAGAATAAGAATCTTGAATAAAACTCCTAGTAATTAGTCAATTATAATATCATGGAACTTTTATTCTGTTATTGACATTGCAGATGCAGGATTCCAACCAGGTTGAAACAAATCCACTGCTAACGGTGTACAATGTGATGATGGTTGATCCTTCATATACATTGTTGCCTAAAATGATAAAGACATAAATTACTAGATATTTATTTTACACATTCCTTAATCACATTTACATACAAGAAATACAATAAGCTGTTGTTTTGTCGTAGAATCACAGTCTTCTCCAAGTGTGGAGGGATACAGTACAATATCACCATTCTTTTTTATATCTGCTCCAATAAGTTTCAGACACTGTTTTTCATCAACCCTTACTGTTTCGATTATTGATTCTATAAAAAATATTGATATGTATTATTACATAATAATGTTGGAAGATTAACTTGGAATCTGTATTTAATAATCTTTAAAATTATTTCTTACTTCTAGTAGATATATCTGCAGATAAAAATCTCACTAAAAGTGTAGCACACC